ATATATGACGATATATAATATATATATATATATATTTGTGACGATATATATATATATATATTTGTGACGATATATAATATATATATATATATATTATATATAGCATCAAACAGAGCTATATATATGTGGGGTTTTAGGGTTTGAAATTCCCTACAACCCCATATTTTCGTTTTTGGATTTTCAACGTTTTTTCTTTATTTAAAAAAAAATAGAAAATGAAAAAACAAGTATTCTAATCAAACAAAAAATAATAAAAAAGGGATTTTTTTTTTTCATTTTTTTCTGCTTGCTGGTGGGATAAACATGATGCACTTGTTTCTTTTCTTTCTTTTTTTATGGACAGATGCAAAGGTAAAAGGGACAAAAGATTAAAAAAACACAAAAGAAAAACAAACACGTTTTTCTTTTTTTTTGGTTTTTGACACACACATGTACTGACTGATTGATTGATTGATTGATTGATTGATTGATTGATTGATTGATTGATTGATTGATTGGTTGACTGGTTGATTGATTGTGATTGGTTGCTTGATTGCTTGATTGGTTGATTTATTGACTGATTGATTGATTGAAACAAAAGAAGGAAGCGTTGGTGCATGTGTGTGTGTGTGTGCGCAGGGGGGAGGGGGGGGAGACCCGGCCCCCACCAATCAATCAATCAATCAATCAAAAAAAAAAAACAAAGTACACAACAAAAACAGTGGGCTCCTTCAACCCGTGTGACACTGTGTGTGTGTGCGTGCGTGTGCCAGTGGGGGGTGCGGGGGTGAGACCCCTCCCCCACCAATCAATCAATCAATCAATCAATCAATCAAGATTATTTTTTATTTTTAATTGCTTTTCACCCCCAAAATCGTTTTTTTTTCTTTTCTTTTCTTTTCTTGTCTTTTCTCTAAGGGGTAGGGTTGGAGTTCCGGAACCCCGGTCCCCCCCCCCCCCTCCTCTGGCCACCACGTGGCCACGAAAGTCGCCGAGGCCGCGCTCATCACAGCGAGGTCGCACCCATGACTGCAAGCCGCGGTCGTGACTGCTGCGACCGCGGCCAGGGGGATTCATAGGCTCCAGCTCCTCCCATGTTATTGGTTGGGAGCAGCACCTGCAGCCACTGCTGGAGAAGAATCATCCTTTAATATAGTAATATGGTTTTAAAAAAAAAAGAAAACAAAGGAAAAGCGCACACACATACACAGTGATACACTGCCTGGGCCATTGAAAAAAAAAAAAGCTGCACCATCTGTTCGAACTTCGAAGGGGTGGGCATCAGTCCGCTTGCTTATCACAGGGAATCAAGTTTGGACCAAGGAATCTTTTTTTTTTTTTTTTTTTTTTTTTTTTCAAGGACTCTAAGTTAAGGGGAACAACCAGAACTCGAAGTTCGTCTGTGTTCCTCGTGCACAGTTCCTCCGTTTCAAGTAGCCCCGCTCCCATGCCCGAGTTCTGGTTGATACGATGCAGGATACTGTGCAGGATACTGTGTGTTTTGCTTGAAGTTCGTAAAGATACAGACTGAGTCAGACAGACAGAGAAGGTATATCCCATTAGGAGGAACACAGACGAACTTCAAGCAACACACACAGGATTATATCTTATTATGCTCTTTTTTTCTTCTTTTTTTGCAAGATATCTTTATAATTATGCTTTTCAAACGGCATGTTTCTAAAATAAAAAAAAATAATAAAAAAAAAAAAACCGGCATGTTTCTCAATGCTTGGCCTCTTGGACAACCGCCACTTGCCAGGAACTTGGGGGAAGTTGCGGCCTACCTTCTTCTGTCATTATTATAGCTGTATTTGGGGCATCTTTCAGTCTAATATATATACAGCAGCACTTATGATGACCATACCTTGTATTCAGGTGAAGAAGGTGGCTCCACTACTCACCCAAAATCATGGCAAAATGTGCAAAATGAGAATCAATGAATCTTCCCTTAGAACATTGGATAGTTACATTGCCATGTTTTCTTCCTTTTGTGGTGCGTCTGGTGAGTGGCTGAGGTACTAGGCCCTTAGTAGCCTGAACCTCCTCCACCTTGAAATAGTAGGGTTTTTATTTTTTTATTTTTTTATTATTATTATTATTTTAGTTGCCATGACAGAGTCAGATTCTGAAGTTCTCAGAACAGTTGGCTCTCCTGGACGGAACGGCCACAACGAAGGGCCCGGAAAGGGCTGGGCAGCCTAGGATGGCTGGGCCAAAAGGGGGGGGAGAGAGAGAGAGAGAGAGAGAGAGAGAGAGAGAGAGAGAGAGAGAGAGAGAGAGATGCGATAGGAAGGGTAATATCTGCAGCCCGTAGGGAAAGAAGTGAGCTTCAGGACACACAGAGTAAGGAATCTACTAAGGACCACAGCCTCAGAAACGCTTGGAAATGTGTACTTCGTACTCCAGAGTCTGCACTGATGTTTTCAAGCTTAGGGGGGACGCTGGACACGGTTTGCAGCCGGTCTCAGTGACACACCCCCATGGCACCTATTATAGATAGATGGAGCAGCCTGACAGCCAAGCCCTCAATTCCGGCGGTTCTCTCACCACATCTGGGAAGGGTTTTCAAAAAAAAAAAAAAAAAACTTAAGGAAGATCAAACACGGGGGTTCCCCGTATGCCTACAATTAGGAGTAGTGGTAGGTAGGCAGTGTGAGGTGAAATTGAGAGAAGAATATAGCTTTTTTTTTAAAAAAAGAAAAGAAAAAACACGGGTTGCAGATGGACTGGGCTGGGAGTAAAGTACGAGCTCTGTGGGAGGAAGGGTAGCAAGTGCTAACAGCTTAACAAGTGCAGCGGCCCCATTTGAACAGGGAGGAGCTCCAGCATGGACAGAGAACAGGCCACAGTCCTGGGATCAGTACAGCTTAATGAGCATTGGTATAATGATGTATCTATGGGAGGCCAGCAGAAGAGAGGGGGCGGGGGGGGGCGGGGAGGGAACACGTTCTCTTCGGGACGAAATCACTTCGAAGACTTTTTTTTTTCTTTTTTTTTTTGTGTGTTTTTGTTTGGAAAAGGAGTAGCGATTATTGTCATGCCGGGAAACGGGCCCGGCATCCCTCACAGAGTTTGCCACAGCACACAAGTTGAGCAAGGCTCTCGGGCCAAGCAAAGCCAGGGCCACGACTGTGGCAAAAAGAGCAACCCCTTCCTCTTGTCTTCTCTTCTACTACTTGAACCCATTTCTTAACAAGTCTAAAATCAGACAAAAATCTAAACACGCCATAAAACCACCTATCTCAAAACCACCTAGTATCTCACAATAGCTCTAATATCACGTAAAAATAAGCCATAGCCCTAGTAGTCTAATGTAAGCTCAGCATTAATGAACCCATTAATCCCCAAAGCAACAAAACAATCAGCGAGATGCCAGCACATCAACCTTAATGTTATAAGAGCTTAGAATTTGTGAAAACACCATAAGACTACACATTTCACAATAGCCCTCATATCACGTGAAAATAAGCCCTAAACCTAGTCTAATGTCGACTTGGCACCAAGTGAGCTGTTAATTCCTGAAGCAATAACAAACCTAAAAGAGATACTAGTAACACAATAACCCTAAAGGATTATGATCATCAATCTCTTCTCATAAAAGTGTGGATTCTCTCTCTCTCTCTCTCTCTCTCTCTCTCTCTCTCTCTCTCTCTCTCTCTCTCTCCCCCCCAANGACCTCTCTCTCTCTCTCTCTCTCTCTCTCTCTCTCTCTCTCTCTCTCTCCATCACGTTTTTTTTTTTTTTTTTTTTTCAGAGTTGAACACAATCCAGAAAACGACTCAGGAATCCACCAACAGTCCTCTTTACCTCACTCCGGCAAGACTTACTGCAGCAAAGCCACCATCTCTACTGCTGCTATGCCCTATTTCTGTCCTACCAGCAAGCCCCTTCACTAGCAGGACGCGTGATACCTTCCTCTCTCTCACCTCGATCCCTTTCCTACCCGTTACTGAGAAAAAGGTACGGGAATAGACTGCAGAAGCCCTACAAAAGCCCCAAATCCCGCAAAATCCCTAACAAAACCTTCCAAGGTTTTACCAGGAGTTTTCTTTTCTTTTCAGAATCTTTCTTTTCTTTTCCTTTTTTTTTTTTTTTTTTTTTTTTTTTTTTTTTTTTTACACGTGCGGGAAACTCAAATCATCACACCTCATTCAGGATGTTTTCTCGAAAACAAGCAGAAACGGAACCTTCTGTTAACCACATGCATAGCACAGAATATTTATCCCACACCACCTGTCCACAGGGACAGACCCGTCTATCTCTCTACCTGTTATCGAGGCCCCGAAACTGCACTTTTATTAACACGGCCCAGTGCCCAAGGCAATTACAAAATCAAGATATTCAATCACAGGGACGACAGGTTGTCCTGCCCCATCAGGGGTAAACCAACGACACGTTATGAGGTAGAGGGAAGCGCCCGCCGGTATCCGTTATGGGACCACTATGACGAACCTGCTATCACTTCATTAAAAAGATGAAAGGACCAATGACTGATAGCGAAGTGAGCCTCTGGTGTTACGTCCGTTGAGGTTCGACCTCTCGTTTTCTCTTTTTATTTTTTTGTTATTTTATCTTATTTTATTATTTTTCGAATCTACAGATAGCTAAAATGTTGGACTCTGAAATCTCTTGTTCGCAGTCTGCGGCGAACCTATAAAGAGTGGGGGAGGCAAGCATTTGGCTACTCGGACTTAGGCAGCCCCGTTACGACGAGCACGGGTGAGCTGAAGAGGGAGGACCGAGCGGCGACCTCTTGTTAGCGCCGAACTTTGGAACTCATGATACTCTTTGTATTAAGAGACATTGATAATATAAGCTGCGCTACTTGGTTTTTATCTCATCTCAAGATGGTTTTGTGTGAGTTCCCTTTGTTCGTGTGGTGATATGTATGCATGCGGGTTGATGCACTCGAGGTGTGCGCGCGAGTTTGTCTGCGTGCGCACTCCCTGAGCGTTTGGTTTTGGCTATTTTGGAGCTGGCAACCTGATACCGTATACGGCCTAAAAGGCTTGACTATGGTGCGCAGCAACAGTCTATATGGGTAAAGGCCAAGGTACCTCCAGTTCCTCTGGAGGTGGGAGCGGATGTCGGGAGAAGGCCCGATGGTGACCGCCGTCTTGGATTACAGCCGCTGCAATCAGGAGGTCAGGCTGAAAATAAATATGGAGGGAGGGAAAGAGGAAGAAATGAAAGCGGACCAGGGATTGCAAGTGGCCATCACAGAGGCAAAGGACCGGGCTGAGAGGAGGTGCAGGACAGACGGAGTCACGGACGAAACAAAGGTCACCGTTTCATACTTGGAAGGAGAGACGTCCACAGATACCGCGGAGCAGGAGCAGCGGCATCTGGACCGCGACACAGAGGCCGAGAGCGATGCCAGTGATCTGAACGCGGAGACCAAGTCCTGGCACGGGCTAGATCGGTGGCGGAGGGACCACCCACCGGCTGAGCCTGTGGAGAGTGCTCCAGAGGCCAACTCACGGCGAAGACGTGACTAGGAGTACTGGTCGGTTACAGCGGTGGGCATCGATCAAAAAGAGAGAGAAGTCAAGTGAACAAGGGCGTGTTACGCGCGAGTGACTGGTTAACGTCATCACACTGGGAGATACTGCAGAAGGTGTGCCTACTGGGGAAACGAGGTCAGACATCTGTGTGAGTGTCTTGGATCAGCAGGGGGGAATAGTGCCCCTGTGTGCAGAGGGGATGTGACTGACTTCGTCTCGTCCGCGCGAGTTGAGGCGTGTGTGAGATTGGGAGAGACTGGTTTTCTGAGTGTTGAGGACTCATCCGGCGCCTTAACTCACTGCATGGAAAACCGGGCGGGTTGAGACGGGGCTAGTCATCCCGTGTCTTTCGAGGTGTGGAAAAGGACGTGAGCCCACGACAGTTTAAGAAGACAGATCCTAATCATGTGCACAGTGTACCAAAGAATCTAAGTGGAGGGACAATCGGCGAGATCACATCACTCAATCTTTCGAACAGGTAGAGGATATCATAAGAACTTGCTATAATTGTCATTTACATGAGCACGATCCCGCCATCCTAGTTCAGTGAGTCAGACCATTCCAAATCGGCTGATACATGTAGGGCAGATCTGACAACAACAACCGATCAAACAAGTAGTACACGATATTATAATTAATGTCTGCAGTCTGTGTGTAAAGAGCAACCTTTTGCTCTGTGGAACCCATCAGACCTACATGCAGCCTACGCTACTCACTGATTAATTGGTATGCGAAAAGAATCATGAGAGAAGAGGAGATTTTAGTGATGGAGTATAGACCTGTGTAACACCCTGTACGTCGTACGGGGCTCTGCTCGTACGTACGTACGTACGGCCGTACCGCCGTATGAATGGCCCTGTACATAATGACGAAACCCCCCCCCAAAAAAACGAAAAATATATATATATATATGTATGGGGGTGTAGAGTTTTTTGTGCTCTACACCCCCATATTTTTTATTTTATTTTTTGGTCTTTTTTATATTTTAAAAAAATAAAAATCATCACAACGGGAAAAAAAAAAACAAAATAAAGAGATAAAAATTGATTGATTGATTGATTGATTGATTGATTGAATGATTGAAGGGTCGGAATCGAGATCGGGGGGGGGAGGGGAAATCAAGGCG